ATCTTCTAAAATTTCTACCAAGAATTTGTATTATTTTTGTAATTTGAAGTTATTAAAACTCTACATTTGAGACTTACCTCTTAATACGTCAGTGCAAACTTGTCGAATAAATTGTTCTGAAAATTCTCTTCCCTGCATCAAATTATTAAGGGTTATAATATGTACATGCTGAGTAAAAAGCAATGAAAATCTAAAACTTGAACGAAGAAGAATACATACAGGCTTCCCATCCAAACCGGGAGGTCCCTGAGGACCTATTTCCCCAGGTTGCCCCTTGGGACCCGAAGGCCCCATCAGGCCATCTACCCCAGATTCTCCTTTTGGTCCAATGGCACCTCTGACACCAGGTTCTCCCTTTTCACCTCTCTAAAACCAAGAGAAATCTTTAAAAGTTCTAGTAAATATTTCAGAAGGTATAATTGCATCATAAAAGTCCTTAAGGATATGACTATGAATATATACGTGTGTGTATATATATATAAGCTATACAGAAAATAGCTGGGAAACACTGTCATTGACCAGAAAAGAAATATCATATCATATTAAACTTGTGTTTATCCATACAGCCAACCAGCCAGCCCTACAAACATCTACTATTTATTGAGTATATTGTACAGGCAATATGCATAGTACCAGAGATAAAACAATGGCCATGACAGAGTCCTGTTCCCAAGGAGCTTGCTTTCAAGTGGAACAAATATTGAAACATACAATATTCTTTACTGAAAATATGCAGAAAAATTTAGCTTCCAGTCTAGAAGAAGAACCAATATTGGTAAATATATATTTCATATCTAATTCAGTATAAATATATATATTCTGAAAATCACTAATTAGAAACTTCTACTAAAGAACACAAAGTTCCTGTTTTCAACTCAAAGCTAGCTTTACATAGTATCAAAATCCAAGCAATAAGGACTGGACAAAGGGAGCAAAATATATGAAGAAACATACCTCTCCTTTTATACCATGATGGCCTTGAATTCCCTTTGGAAATAGGAAAAAATTATAATAAATGTTCAAGCTACAGTACTAATAATGTGGTATGTACCTTTTACCACATATGTAATCTAACTTTAATATTCAGTTAGGAACATATTGATAGGATTAGTGACAGAATTACACATATGAGACCTTTCTTGCCTTTTTAAAGGAGGCTAATCACTAGGAAATATGTTAACTGAATAACATAAAAATTTTAATTTCTATAACTGTTTTATTCTTAGATATGAATCAAATATGTAGTTTAGGATGGAATTCTAGTGGATTTTAAAATATATTACCATTTTTAGGAAAATTAAATTAAGTTTTGATTGAGTATTATTGTTAAAGGGTGAATTAAAGCAAAGATACCATTGAAAGTAACTAATAAAAGAGAAAACACAAATTTTTCCTGTGCCTGAACCACTCACTGCTGGTAATTAAGAGCCCAGAGAAGCAGTGTAATGTAAAATATGTTTTTTTTTTTCCAGTGATATAAACACTAGGGAGCCCAAACATGAAGCTCACTCATCACTATAATTACTAGCGGCATCTAGATGGCTCTATTAAATTCTTTCCCACTCAGCTGTCTCACATATTCACTCCAATGATATAGTACAGATAAAAACTCTCAGGAAATGCACGCAAATTTTCCATTTTTGAAATTCATTGTACATTTGCACTCTAGAATCACCCAATATCAGTCAGGAAAAGAGGTATAACTTTCATATACACAGGTACAGTTTCATTATTCCACTCTAAAAACCTATGTTCTGCAATTCAATATGAAATTTAATGTATAACATTTCACACAAGGAAGTTTGAGTTTGGGTGTATCTTTTCACTCTTAGGTTCCTTAAACATGGTATTTAAACTAGACAAAGGAAAGAAAGAATTAGGTAAAGTCATTTGTCACAAGGAAAGGTAGATTCTCAAATTAAAATGTGAGAATAAAAACACCAAATATTTAGTTTTATGTAAAAATCTATTAACGAGTAAAACATTCTCTGTGTGGCCATTCATAAGTTCTGTTTCTGAAGAAATGCAGGGGCGATCCCTTACCAGACATAATCCTACAAGTGGAGCCAGTATAAGGGGAAAGATAAAATAGCAATTTCTCAGTATTAGAACTGAATTAGAGCCGAAACTGAAAACAGCTGTCATCTGAGAATCCATTAAGATGATTTTGTGAGAGAAACATTCACTTGGACTCCATTCACAAAATGAGGGCCAAAAAATTACACACATGCAGCACTTGGTAGGATGACAGGTAACTAAGAATTTGTTTACATAAGGAGCTTGGGATGACTATTCAGCTGCTGAAAAGCAACAGCTGTTCTGGCCCCTGGTTGCTTCATATAGACTCAGCTCCCGGTGGTGGGAAACATGGCTTCCAACAAATCTAGGGCAGAAGCTTTCTGGGGATCCCAAATCCTGCCTTAGGAGAGTAGACACGCTATTTTCCTCTAGAAGTGAGAAAAAATAAGTTAATGGAACTTTGGAGGAAGTGTCATCTGTAAGCTAGTCAGCTAGCTAGGTTGTGAGCTCAAATTCCAAAGGAAATATCTTTTTTCTTTTCCAGATAGTTATTATGAGTAACAATTTTGGGTGAAAGACCTGGGTTGTGAAGGTTGAACGGAAGAAGGGGCAAAGGTCCTATGAGAACAGCTATAGCTATTGTGTGATTAACTTAGGGAAACTCAGAGGGTTGATCTGTGTTGCCAGGGAAGGGACTAGGGAAAGAGTTGGCTGTGTCATCAAGTGGGTTCGAGTGGAGTGGAGGAGCAGAAAAATTAAAAGACATTTTTTTATTGAACATAATTGTACTCAGGCAAACTCAATTCGCTTCTCCTCTCAGTTACTTTTGTTCTTATTATTAGTTTCTAAATTCTCAACTTTTTTAAATATTGAGCACTCACCTTTCATCTGAGACCAGGAGGGAGAATGTTTGGAACAATAGGGCCCCAAGGTAGTCCCCCATGGCCCCTCAGACTCCTCCAAGTAAGGAACCGAGGCCCTGTCCTTGGAAATATTGCTACACAGTTTTATGCCCCTATCTCCAGAGCTGGTGTCATGGCTGAATGTTTCTCCCACTCAGAGAAGGAGGTCTACCCCATGGGAAGACTCACATATATACCTTGTCCTTTTAGTTCAGACCAAGTTGGAACTGAGCTCATCACGCAAACTATAGGTAGTGCAGCAGCAAACATGTAATGTAAGTACCAATCACTTTTATGCTTTTTTGGGTCCATGCTGGCTCTGATTAAACTCACAGACCACATGACAATCTCACTGAAACACTACCCAATGAGAAGAGTTTAGTCAAGGCAGACACAAAGCAATATTATTATGTGTCTGTTCCACAACACGGTCCCTCCAGATAGCATTTTAATAAGCCTCTAGAGTAGTAAGTTATATCTCTGAATGAACTAAAGGGCAACAAGTATGTTCCGCCACTACATGTGGCCCCAGCTTTTCACATTTGAAGAAGAAAATCAAGACTAACCAGCAAGTTTAGAGATGCTGCCATTGTGTGGCTGACTGTGTTATTCAGGCCAATAACTCATACAAGATATGAGTGGAATTTTCCACCTTCAGGCATTTACTTGCCCAGAAGAAAGTATTGAAAACCAAATTTCACAGCCACCAATTTTATCAGTATGGGAAAGTGAAAATATAAAACAAACAATTAAAGAAAATCATTATCACCATCACCCCCTACATCTTCAACCTAGTATGCTTAGAATGCATGTTATACCTATTCTTCTCTGCACCCACTTTTATTTGCAAGTATCCCTCTCTCAGCATTGTCCATTTATGTAACTCATTATTTCATTTTTCATCAAAGGAAAAACAAAAATACCTGTTGCCCTGGTATTCCTTGTCTTCCATTTTCTCCCTTTTGACCCTTCAACATTAAATAAACATGATTAATTAGTTTGCACACTTATGATGCAATCACATACACAATACAAACTACGTATTACACTAAAGTACAGAAGAATTGTCACAAAAGCAGTGATGCAAATATGTAAATTATGTGAGAGATGGGAAAGTTAGTCACTCACAGGAAAAGAAGAAGTAAAGGAAAGTCATCCTAATCTTACAGTTAAAATGAATAGAAGACAAGGAAAAAACAACTGATACTGGGTGAACATGAAATAATTCTAGATATTGAGGATGTTCTGCTGAGCTCATATTATGACATTCATTTTAAACTATGAAAGTAGTTTAAAAATCCAATGGATGTGGACATTTTATTAATTTCAATCACACAATTATGTTCAGTATATGAACTTGAGGTGCCCATGAGGCATCTAACTGCAATATAAAAGTGTGGGGGGAAGGAAGTCAAATGGACTCAAAGAGACCAGAGAGGAAGATATTGACTGCGAACATGTAAAGACAAAAAGACCTCTTTAAAATTTTATTTTAAAAAATTAAAACATATTATTACATTTTAGTAAAAAGATTTAATGAAAGTCTTTAAATCAAGACAAGGAGAGAAAAATTAATAAAGATATAAACACATGTCCACTCAATAAATATTTTTACATCCACCATATATAAGACATCACGCTAGACCTGGAAGCACTACTTCATCCCTATACTGAACAAGATAATTAGCAGTTTCTAGGAAGATGTATGCCTAGATAATACATTCAATGAAAGATTAAAAAATAGATTAGTGATTAAAATTTCAAATCACTCTGGCCTAGTGATTTACTCATCTACTTACATAAGTTAATTCCCAATATTTATTGAGCAGCATCTATTTGCTGGCACTTAGGGACACTGAAACAAAGGTATCATTATTGCCTTCAAGTTGTTTACTGTGTGGTAGGAAAGATAAGCAATTAAATCAAGAATGAAGAAAATATGGTCTCGTAAGTGTACAATGCATGATTAAACATCCGGGCTCGATACTACTGGAACTTAGGGAGGGGAGGGTCATCTGACAGAGAGGGTAGGTAATGTGACTCACCCTTGAATGCAGCCTTGAGGGATGAGTCAGAGGTGGCCAATTGGAGAAAGGAAAGGAGGGTGCACCAGGAAGAGCAGACGCAGGACAAAGGCACATAGTTCCTTTTGGCTAAAGCAGCTCAGCAGGAATGGATAATAGTGGGCAGAGTGGCAAGAGATACCACTAAAGAAGATTCGATCAAACCAGGAAGCACTTTGTGGGACAGATTTTATCTTGAAATGTGTGGGGCACCATTAAAGGATTCCAAAGCAGATACACGGCTTAGCTATTTCATGCTAGTAAAAGCATGGGGGGAAGGAAACAGAATGGACTCAAGGAGATGCATTAAGACGATACTGCAGTAACCCAGGACCCCTGCCTGACAAGAAATAATCAGGACAGCGGAGATGGAAAGATGGGGCCAAGTTCAAGAAATATTTAGGGCTGATTACTGTGACAAGGAACCTACAAGTAGAAAGTGGTTTATGGGGAAAGATGACAAGTTCGGTCTTGGACATGTTGAACTTGAAGTACCCAGGAAGTATCCAAATGTAATACCAAGAAGGGAACTGGATTATATGGGTCTAGAACTCACAGAACTGTACTTAAAATTCATCTCATATTATACTAATAGTTGAAGATCCTCCATAAAAAAATATTCAAAAACAACTGAATTTTGTCATGCTGCTCTAAAAGGTTTCATATATGTTATTAAGAATAAATTAATGAGTAGGGACTGTTAAGACTATGAACTTAGTAGATTTTGACTATTATTATTCTAATTTGAAATCTCCTTATATGCCTCTAAAAATTCTAGAGCTTTCAGAATTCTATATTTGTGAAATTTTTCAAAGTATTTTTCTATTTACTTTAAGCTTATTCTGAATAGCAGAGCTCAGACACTATAACTGAGATTTGTAATCTTAAAAACCTCATTAAAATACTGTCTGGATACTAGACTTATTAATATAATTCATGGTTGAAAAAGTTTTATATTTCTAAAACTAAAAAGATTGAAAGACCATCAGATATAATTTTTTTTTTTTTTTTTTTTGAGACAGAGTCTCACTCTGTTGCCTGGGCTAGAGTGCCGTGTCTTCAGCCTAGCTCACAGCAACCTCAAACTCCTGGGCTCAAGCAATCCTTCTGCCTCAGCCTCCCGAATAGCTGGGACTATAGGCATGTGCCACCATGCCCGGCCAATTTTTTTCTATATAGTTTTAGTTGCCCGATTAATTTCTTTCTATTTTTAGTAGAGACGGGGTCTCGCTCTTGGCTCAGGCTGGTCTCGAACTCCTGAGCTCAAACAATCCGCCCGCCTCGGCCTCGGCCTCGGCCAGAGTGCTAGGATTACAGGCGTGAGCCATCGCGCCCGGCCCCCCATCAGATATAATTTATTCTGGATAAGTATATCATTGGCTCAACTAGTGGCATCCTATTCAAGGGTCATCCTTCGGTGAATGAAAAATACCTTTCACAGTCACTTAAATTAACTGAGGTGAAACTATCCTCATCTCCCAAAGTAGCAGCATGGTTCTTCTCTTTGCCTTTGTTGCTAAGACACCCCAAACTAAATGTCTTTCTAAATCACCCCAGGTTTCCTCAGCTTGATATAATGTTCCTTCCTTATATATTATACTAGTTTGAGTATGTTTTGTATTTAGTGTTTTTCTTTTTTATCAAATTCGTTTTTGTCATTTTTCAAATCATTTTTGGAAACAAACACACTATAAATATATAAATAAATACACATCAGAACTATGTAATAAAATCCCTATCTTTATTTTGTTAAATCATTTGGTTCCCAAGTTTTCTACAACAGCAAAGTGGTGAAGAATCTTAAGGTTAGATTTGATGTTGTCTGAGAAGCTGAGCAGCATAAAGATGGGATTTAATAACTAGATATTGATGGTGAAACAGGAAGGAAATAGGAAAACAATTATAGAAATTTAAAAGAACAAAGTCCCAATTTTATTGCTAAGCACCCCCCCATAAAAAGTAAACAACAAACCTGAACACCTTTTTCACCTTGATTTCCTTTGTCCCCCTACAAAAAAAATTAAATGTATATCATAATCTAGTATATTCTGTATCCTTTCAAATAAACATGTTTTTCTTCAGCAGAGAAAAATATAAGGTCTCATGCAAATTCCACAAGTGCCTGTATATACAGAAGCTGATCCTAATACAGTATTTGGGAAGAGAACAAAACCACATTATGTCAAAATGATATTCTAAAAGAATGCTTTCTTGTGCTCCTACATTTGAAAGCAAATTTACCACAATTTCTATTTTACCAGAAAGAAGAAACTTTTCTATATTGTTCACAGTCTGAGGTTAAACAAACTAACAAGAGAGGACTCATTTTAACAAATGTTGTTTTATGAAATCAAACTGAAAATCTTCCATTAAGCTATTAGTAGCCACAAGTTTATAGGAAACAATGACAAAGTAAAATATAATGTTTCAATGATAGTTTAGAAAATATGTGCTTCAAAAATGAGCTTTTGGAGAAAAATTCATATTTCATAATAATAAGTTTCATAGAATTTCTCAGCTAGGAGGAAAATTAGAGACCAACTAGTATAATACAACATCCTCCTTTATATAATTAATGAAATTACAGATTAGGAAAGGTAAGCACTTGTCCAAAGTGGGGCTTGGACACTGTTTTTAAATTTCCTTTCTACCTCATCATGCTATTTAAGTATAGAGTACAGTTTTGTGTTTACAACAAAGAAAATATAGATTTTTTGTAAACAGCAAATTTTTGAATAAGAAAATTCTCTTAAGCCCAATCATACATCCACAGTAGATTTCCTTAACATTCACTGAGAGTCTAACACTTAACTGTTGCTGTAAGGGGTTATCTCTGTCTCAGCAAGTGCTGCCTACTGCTCATCAGAACAAAAAGGTCCAGGAGCACACTACATATAATAACCTAGGGGTCAAGTAGATAATACATGATGGATAGAAAATGAAATGGTAGAAAACAAACAGCAAGGGATGTGAAGATGGAGACATAAAAGTTTTTCAGAACAAAAGCCAGTATGTTTATATTTAACCTGAAATGTATGCACCTGCAATGACATGGAATTTTTAGGCAAAAGGGCATCAGTTGTTCCTCAAAAACTCCAAATAATACTTCAGATGAAGGTCAAGGTTCCCTTGCTTGACCAAAATAAGAGAGAGAGAGATTACAACTGATACAGCAGAAATCCAAAGGATCATTAGAGACTACTATGAGCAACTATATGCCAATAAATTGGAAAGCCTAGAAAAAATGGATAAATTCCTAGACACATACAACCTACAACAACTGAACCAGGAAGAAATCCAAAACCTGAATAAACCAATAACAAGTAACGAGGTAGAAACAGTAATAAAGTCTCACATCAAAGAAAAGCCCAGGACCTGATAGCTTCACTGCTGAATTCTACGAAGCATTCAAAGAAAAATTAATACCTATCCTACTTAAACTCTTACAAAAAATTAAGGAGGGAATACTCCCAAATTCATTCTATGAAGCCTGTATCAACCTGATACCAAAACCAGACAAAGACACACACACACACAAGAAAACTATAGGCCAATATCTTCGATGAACATAGATGCAAATTACTCAACAAAATACTATCAAACCAAATTCAACAACATTCATCATGACCAAGTAGGATTCATCCCAGGGATGCAAGGATGATTCAACATGGGAAAATCAATCAATGTGATACATCGTATCAACAGAACAAGGGACAAAAACCATATGATCATTTCAATTGATGCTGAAAAAGCAGTCAATAAAATTCAATATGTCTTAATGATAAAAACTCCCTAAAAACTGGAAATGGAAGGAATTTATCTCAACATGATAAAAACCATATAGGACAGATCCACAGTGAGTATCATACTCAATGGAGAAAAACTGAAAGCCTTTCCTATAAGTTGTAGAACAAGACAAGGATGCCCACCTTCACCACTGTTATTGAACATAGTACTGAAAGTTCTAGCTACAGCAATCATAGAAGAGAAAGAAATAAAGGGCATCCAAATTGAAAAGGAAGAAGTCAAATTATCCTTGTTTGCAGACCATATGATCTTGTATCTACAGAAACCTAACGACTCCACAAAAAACTATTAGAACTGATAAACGACTTCAGTAAAGTTGCAAGATACCAAATTAGCACACAAAAATCAGTAGCATTTCTATATGCCAACAACAAAGTATCTGTAAAGGAAAACCAAGAAAGTAATCCCACTTATAATAGCTACAAATAAAATGAAATATCTAGAAATAAACTTAACCAAAGAAGTGAAAAATCTCTACAACTAAAACTATAAAACATTGATGAAAGAAATTGAAGAAGACATAAAATAATGGAAAGATATTCCACGCTCATGGATTAGAAGAATCAATGTTGTTAAAATGTCCATATTATGCAAAGCACTCTACAGATTCAATGTAATCCCCATAAAAGTGCCAATTACATTCTTCACAGAAATAGAAAAAAATCCTAAAATTTAGATGGACCTACAAAAGACCCAGAATAGTCAAAGCCATCCTGAGCAAAAAGAACAGAAGTGGAAGAATCACATTACCTGACCTCAAATTATGCTACAGAGCTGTAGTAACCAAAACAGCACAGTACTGGTATAAAAACAGACATATAGACCAATGGAACAGAATAGGGAACCCAGAAATAAATCCACATGTCTTTAGTGAACTTATCTTCAACAAAGCTACAGTGGGGTAAGGACAGTCTCTTCAATTAATGTTGCTGGGAAAATTGGATATCCATATACAGAAGAATGAACTAGGTGCTTATCTTTCTCCACATACAAAAATCAAATCAAAATGGATTAAAGACTTCAATCTAAGACCCAAAACTATGAAACTACTAAAAGATAACATTGGGGAAATGCTTCAGGACATTGGTCTGAGCAATGATTTCTTGAGTAACACCCCCAAAGTAAAATTGGACAAATGGGATTATATCAAGCTAAAAAGCTTCTGCACAGTAAAGGAAATAATCAACAAGGAGACAACCCACAGAATGGGACAAAATACTTGCTAACTACCCATCTGACAAAGTATTAATAACTAGAATATACAAGGAGCTCCAACAACTCAATAGGAAACAATCAAATAATACAACTAAAAATGGGTTAAGAATATGAATAGATATTTCTCAAAAGAAGACATATATATGGCCAACAGGTATATGAAAAAATCCTCAACATCATTAGTCATCAGAGAAATGCCAATCAAAACTACAATGAGATATCATCTCACCCCAGTTAAAATGGCTTTTGTAGAAAAAAATGGGCAATAACAAATGCTGGAGAGGATATGGAGAAAGGGGAACCTTTACACAATGTTAGTGAAAACATTAAATTAGTGTAACCACTATAGAGAACAGTATGGAGGTTCCTCAAAAAACTAAAAACAGAACTACCATATGACAGAACGATCCCACTGTTGGGTATATATCCCAATGAACAGAAAGCAGTATATCAAAATGACATCATCTACACTCCCATGTTTATTGCAGCACTATCCATAATAGCCAAGATTTGGAATCAACCTAAGTGTCCATCAATGAATGAATGGATAAAAAAATTGTGGTACATATACACAATGGAATGTTACATAGCCTAAAAAGAATAAAATCCTGCTATTTGCAACAACATAGATAGAACTGGAGAACATTATGTTAAGCGAAATAAGCCAAACACAGACAAATCTCACATGTTCTCATTCACGTGTGGGTGCTAAATATTAAAACAATTGATTTCATGGAGATAGAGAGTAGATTCATGGTTACCAGACCCAGAGGCTGGGATGTGTAGAGGAGAAGGAAGGATAAAGTGGGGATGGTTGATGGGTACAAAAATATAGTTACATAGGATGAACAATATTTGATAGCACAACAGAGTGAATATAATCAACAGTAAGGATATACTTTAAAATAACTTAAAGAGTGGAATTGGAATATTCTAAGGAATATTCTAAGACAAAGAAATGATAAATGCCTGAGGTGCTGGATAGCTCAAATACCCTGATTTGATTAAACACATTGTATCAAAACATATCACATATCAAAACATCACATGTACCCTATAAATATATACAACTATTATATACCTGTGATAATTAAAAATAAAAAATTTTTAAAAATTTAAAAAAGAAATAGAGAGATGAGGGATAACATAGTGTTGTCTTACCTCACCAAAACATTTTAAATGAGTATATTCGATTTGTATTTTAAACCCCTTAAATTAATTTTAAATGAACTTCTACATAATTGTTTCATAGATAAGAAATTCAGGGTCAAACATTTTGGGTATAATTATTTTTTATTTTTTTAGAGATAGAGTCTCGCTCTATCGCCCAGGCTTCAGTGCAGTGACACAATCATAGCTCAAAGCAGACTTGATCTCCTGGCCTCAAACAATCCTCCCACCTCAACCTTCCAAGTAGCCAGGACTACAGGAATGCTTTACCACACCCTGTTAATTTTTGTTTTTTCCCTGTAGAGTCAGAATCTCGCCATGTTGCCCAGGCTGGTCTCAAATCCTGGGCTCAAAATGTCCTCCCAAATTGGTGGGATTACAGGCATGAGCCCTGGTGCCCAGCCTTTTGTGAGTATAATTTTTAGCCTTTCAGACTTTTGACCCAGTTTTGATAAGAGTGGTAGTCATATTTTGGTAGGAGTGCTTGACACTGGATAATTTTCCTAAAAAAGTTCTTGACTCACCTGGATTGATGGCAAACAATCTGAATTTGCAGGATATTACTTAATTATACATTTATATTTTCAGATCTGCATGCCTCTTCTAATGTCTTCATCTAGTAGATAATACCCATAGAGGAATATGAAACATATCATAGCTATTAGCATCAGACTGAACACATTATACATACACTAAAAACATAGGGTACTTTATCATTAAAAATATAACCAGTCCTACTACGCTAATTTCATAAAAGGAAAACTTACATGTAAGTAGCCTTACATTCAAGTAAGCCTTGAATTATATATCCTAACCAATGCATACCTTTTTTCCTTCAATTCCAGGCAAACCCATGTATCCCGGTTCTCCTGGGAGGCCTATTGCTCCTGGTTCTCCCTAGGTAACACAGAAATTCTGTAAAGATCATGGACCTATGCATATACAAAAACCTACCACTGTTTTTATCTCTATACAACACCTCAAATTTAAAATGTATGGTTAAAACATTTCTTAACGGAGTTACCGTAGAAATAGTAAAGAATAAAAAGTTTACTGGAATCCCAATAAAATTTCTTATGTTTCTCTCTGTCTTTGGCAGCTGAAAAATTCTGACAGCATTTCATATTTTAAAATAAGTATTTGGTGCTATTATTATACTTTATAATTTCAAAAATAAAGTAAATAATAAAGTAGTAAAATTAATAAACACGGGTATTTCTTTTTGTTTACATATTTACTAACACTTTCTTTCTCCTTGAAACTGTTTTTCTCATATTGCTACTTTAAAAAATTTATTTCCTTGTTACAAAAGTGATACATGAATAGAAGTAATAAAATTTTTTGAAAGTCTCATTACCCACTGTTTTTATTTTGTTATGTGTTTTTTTTCTATCCCTAACTCACAAACCTGCATGCACAATTTGGTTACTAAAATGTGTTCACTGTATATGCAAAATTTTATGACTTTTAATCTCAAAATATATTATTATAATTGTTCTTCATATGCCATTATAACATTATTCTTAATTACAGAAGACTATTCAATTTTATTAAGCTACTATATTTTATTTAATAAAATTCCTACTGTTAAATAATACAGTTTACATAATTTTTATTTTTATAAACAACATTGGAATGAACATCCTCATAGTTAAATTTAATAACATATTTTTTTCTTTATATATATGGAATATTATTTTCTTAGAAATTAATTCTTGAGCTGTTTTCAGTACAGGACATATTAGATGCGTTATCGTAACTCAATTTCTTTACTCTCCATCATCCTGTAGTGTTTTTCTTTGTGAAGTAAAGGTTTTTTAAAGGCCTTAAATAAGTTCTTTGCAAGCATAAATTGACAATGCATTGACAATATTTAGGATATATTTGTAAGATATGGAACACAATCCTGAACATGCTTCATGTTTTTTTGTTTTGTTTTTATTTTACCATTAGCCCATAACTGTATCACATTAACTAAAGACCACTCTCTTTTGTGGAAACCAAGTTTTATTCTCTTTGCTCATTGTACACACTCCCTAGCTATTGAATATTGCTCTAGATTTTTAAAGGCTGGATGTGAATTTAAAATCCCATTGAAATAAATATCAACCATTTGGTTCAGAGGAAACTGCTGAAAGCAATTGTGAGTTCCACACCAAAGAAGAAAGTCCAATTAATTAGCAAATAAAGGAACAGTACCATTTGTGGGAGCTACACACTCTTGTTTTGAGCTGTTTAACAGGGATATTCCCTGGATCGGAGAGTATGCTCATAATTTTTACCATTTCTAGATAAAATAAGCCAAAGTTTCTTTTATGTCTTTATTACTCAATAAACAAAGTGTCTAAAAAACAGAAATGAAACACTACATTGAACATTTCCTTTCATGTACTTTAATTTTGTGATAAAGGTAATCCTTAATTTCATGGAACTTTTCTAAAGGGATACAAAATGTTAATTTTCTAAAGTAACAATGGCAATTTACATTATAATTTCTTTGAAAATATTTCCAAATGTAGAACATCGCAATTACCTTGAGCCCAGAAGCCCCAGGCATCCCTTGAAGGCCAGGTTCACCTTTGTTCCCCTGTCAGTGCATCGAAAACATTTGAATTAAAAAAAAAATTTTGTCACACTATATCTGCTATGGAAACTTAGGGAATATATTTAAAATATTTTTTGCATTTTTAACTTTCTAATTGAAACATAGATGCTGTACATTAAGCTTATTTATTAAGAAAAACTCGTTTAATGTGGACTCACTCCACATGTTTATAAAGCTCTCTAAAAGAATGTGTTAAAAGCTGGTAGCTTCAAGTACAAGGGAAGAGATTCAAATCTTTAGGGATCAGCATGAATAAGTTCAGACTCCACACTGCACAGGTGGGAGCCATGCACTTCAATAGCATCCTCTGGGCTGAGTTCCTCGTCATCGTCCTGTTTCACTTTCTCAGTGTGATTTGCCTTCAGTATGCAATTGAAAAAAATAGCTTCAAATGTACAATGGCTTTTCTGAAGAAGTGTAAATAAGAAAATGTTTAATTTGTGCTCCTTTTTAAGGATTCCAGTGCAGTCCTTTCTAACAGATAGAAAGCTGGGGAACAAGGCTAAATTGATAGAGCAAAGAATGTAATACAGAAAGAGAAAGTTGAATATAAGAAGAGAGAACAAGCCTGCTAGCTAATAAGGAGAGATTATCAAATTCTGGTTTTCAAATACTTTGATCCCTGATATTATAACCTGGTGTTTGGCAAAAGCCCGTGATTAAACAGGTTGGTGTGATATCTAGAGGAGGAGGCCAATGATCACTCAGAGTCAACCTGGGTTCACTAATGAGTAAAGCAAATCAACTTCATTTTCAGTTTTTAGAAAGTTTTCTAGGCTGCTCATTGTAAGAAATATGTAAATGTAATACTGGACTTCATTAAAGTATTTAACACATAATAGCATTATTGAACCATAGAATAATGATGGTTCCTTAAAATTTCTAACTTTTCAAGTGATTAAGCCGAAACTCACAGATAAGACTTGTTACAAGTAATAGGATTTGATTATGTTAATATAGCATAATATCATTTAGATAATATTTCTAAAAACTGAAATATAGTATGGTAAAGTAGGCTTATAAATGTTTCAACAGATTTTTTTCAAGTATTATAATCTAAACCAGAAGTTTTCTAAAGATCTATCACAGTTTCGGCCTCTTCTCTGCCTTATTTAATACAACTTTTTGGTCTCACCCTAGAACTTCTACCAGTGCTACTGACAACATACGCAAAAATATAGTTGACAAAACTAGCAGAAAAAAGCTAACTGAGAGGTCAGTCAGGGGCCAAATCCAGCCCAATGCGAGTTTTGAAATAAAGTTTAACTGAGACACAGCCACATCCCATACCCATGCGTTTTATGTATTGTCCGTGGCTGCTTTTGCTCTACAATGGCAAAATTGAGTAGTTGCGTTAGAGACAATATGGCCCACAAAGACTGAAATATTTACTATCTGGCCCTTTGCGAGAGACCATTTCCAACACCTGGGCTCATACACCACATTAAAAAAAATTGAAATGTGTTCAGTGAAAAGATTACGTTTACTAGGAATAATTTTAACATCTTGGATCTATTTTTAAGAAAACAATTGCCCAACACAAGATGAGGGAAACCAAACTTCAGAGTAATCCATGTAAAAATAAACAAACTGTGATGCTAGAAACACCCACTTGCCAACCCAGCCAAATCAGCACAATCTACAGAAGTGGTAGATGCCACAAACACATTGTTGTAAAATCGTTTATGGAAAATCCAACAGATTTAATTGACCTCCAGCTCAGTGCGAGCCAACAGTGTGATGTAGCTAATTAAAAAGGCTGATGAAATTTTAGGCTGCATTCTTAAGAATTAGAGCATCCAAAAGACAATGGGAGAGCCCATTGTGCCCCATTCATAAGGGGTGTATTCTTACAAAATGACCTTTAGAAATTATGGAGAACTTCTATTTAGGAATCCTAGTTATTCAAAGGTTTTATACCAACTCTCTGCATACCTATAGCTGCTGGAACCTGCAATACTTCAAGGATCCACAGTGGTCCACCACTGATCAAAGAGCAACTACTTTTTCCTGTTATTGGGCTCCCGTGACATTTTATCCTTTCTCTTTTTCTAAGTATAATAGTTTTAGAAATTAAAAGTAAAATAGATGAGGTCATCTACTCATCTTGTAAGCCAGAGTCTTTCCCCCGGGACAATGTCTAGTCAAAGGTTGAATGCTTCCAAAACAGCAATTCCATCACTGCCTTTTGGAAGGTTGTCCTAGAGTCTACTCGCTAAATAGTTGAGAATAGTTTCCTGAGTCTAGCCAGAATGTACTTGGTTTGAGCCTCTGACTAACCAAGGAAAAAAAATAATTGTCTTAGCACAGGATTCTGTGTCCTTAGAGAATGGTCAAATCATGATATTCAAAGATTTTGTTCTACCTTGAGAATAACTAACCTGACATCCTAAATATATTTGTCAAGTTTATCTTACTTTCTTAAATTCTGAAAATAAAGATAATATGCTCCCTTACCCATAGGCCTAAATAAGTGAATGCATAATAAGGCATTTTACAATAAAAACTACATATACATTCCACTAAATAAAAATGCCAAAAATAGGAGTAGAAAATTGGTAAAACGCTATCCTCATTGATAACTACTAACGCTCCAGATTGGTGGTTTTGGCACTGAGCTTTGCGGAGCTCTAAGCATCCCTCAGTGCCTACGAGACACCAAAAAGGGTGTAGGAGGTTAAGTGGCGAGGGATTCCAGACCCTCTCCAGCTTAAACCAGATTTGTTTTACTTCAGCTTTTTTCATAAGCTAAGCTTTTGCCTAAGATTTCATTCTTACAAGTGATTGCTCATAGAATGAAAACCTCATTCAAAATAAAGTTAGTGTAGTAAGTCAGGATTTTCACTGAAGTTATAAATGGCCACTGTGATTGCACTAATTTCTTAATCTTATTAATTTTATTATATTTACCTTAGATCCTGGTGTTCCAGGCTGACCTGGTGAGCCATTGCTTCCCATCAAACCCTACATTTTTAAAAGGGAATTTCAAGCGTAACACAGGAAAAAATGTTAAATGACACTAAATTCATTTCCAAGTCACACATTCTTATAATAATTAATCCACTAAATTATAATATAATATTACAGAAACTTCCCATAAACATCCAAATAAAGGATAATAAAAGTAAAGAATCAAACTATAAGGGCAACAGAGCAAGACCTTGTCTCAAAAAAAAAAAAAAAAAAAGAACCAAGCTATGCAAGATAGCATGCAATATAGCATGAAGGTTAGCAGAGCCCTTATAATTCTGTTACTTAAAAAACCTACAAATACCAAAAATGGCTAGAGAGCTAGTAAAGGACAGATGTAAAGAAAAGTTTATTTTTTCTACACTCTTACTTTCTTCCTTTTGTCATGATGGCTAAGAATTAGGTTTATTCATAGATGTTATCTTTATCAACATTACTTACAATTTCTATTATCTTGAACAATAGTTTGAAAAAGTTACAATGTAATAAATTCTCTGAGTAATCTCTCAAGTTACAAAATAGCTATATTTTTAACCATA